CCCCGAAGTAAGCACTGTAGGCTTACTTATGGGATACTAGTTTAACGGATAGAATATATATACCCATACATATATAACTATATTAATATTGAAATACATAATAAACATCCATGACTGGAGTAAAAATGCTCGTATTCATTACACAAACATCTGCCCCCAACGGGTTAAGAACCCGGGACCTCTCGAGTAGGCGACGCGACACCTTGAAACCCGGCGTCCAAACCGCTTGGCCACGGAGGTCGTCAAAAAAGTGTTCTCAAAGAGTGCTCAGTTTTTAAATAGGACTAGATACTTAAAAGTTACAGTAACTAATTTATTGCTTTAAAATATTTGTTATGTATGACATAGAAATATTGCCTTTTTATAATACATATTTTTACTAAAACGATTTATATCTATTAAACCTTAAATCGAATAGCATTGTTAGTACGTTTGACCTTTGCAAGAAGCTAAGTCTGACACTTACTTTACAGAACCGAAATAGAAAAAAATATATAGTTCTCGTCTACGAATAAATAAAAAACAAAGAAACTGCGCAGCAGCAGCAGCGCTCCAAATGTACTCGCAGTGAAATCGCAAAGGTCGTGACTGAAAAACTGAGCTACAATCTGCTCCAATCTATCACATACTTTCTCTGCTGTCATTTAAACCGTACACCGTCAATATTTTACTTAAATATTTGCTATAAAGTACTTAAAATCGATAAAAAAGATATAAGTAATGAATACTTTCAAAACATTAACAAAACAAGTTTGTTATTTGACAAATAAACAAAACGCTTGATGGGTAAGCAGACCTGAGGTTAAAAAATAAATACACTATTTACTTTTAATAAAGTGTTTGGCAGATATGTATATTCCCTTTGTTATCATTGCGATAATTAAATTGAACATTGAACTGCTTGTATTTTGTCTGAGAATTCGTTCATTGCTCGATAGTTGGCAGATTGCATGAAATCATTGCACGCTTGGGCCAGGTCATCAACCGCTATACCTACATCCTGACCTGACCGTGTGAAATGCGACGGATTTATCTGAACAGTGAAAAAATTTCGATATGGCCGAATAGGCAAGGCAACAGATAAACGCTGCGGCAACGATAGGGCTGCCTGATAGTCCAAACTTACATCGTAATGATCTTCACACAAATATTTATGTTATGACTTGGGATCCGATCATATCCGTCCGTTATCAGTTTGACTCATTTCATTTATTTGAGTATATTATAAACTTTTTTACATTGAAAAAGTTTTTTGTTCTTAATATTTGGTCTGAGTCAGTAAAATAATTGTTTCGAAAATATGAAAACCTCATTAAGAACAGAACTAGTGAGACACTATAAAGTCAACGGGCAGTGACATGACACAGTGGATTTCCGCATTAAATTAAATTGTTTTTCGTTAGCGACTTTAAAGTTTGTAACTTTTTTATTGTAAAAGATGTTTGTTGATTTTTTTTTTGTTTTGCTTTGATTTCCTTGACAATTTTTTTAAAAAATAAATATAAAACTTCTTTATTCAAAAGTGCTAATGAGCTCTTCATGTAACAGTCAAAAATATTGTAAATAAAATCTATAACATGTCAATATTTGTATAAAGACTTTTAAAGACAAATAAAACTTATTTTATATTCATACATTATTTATAAAAACATAATTTTGTAAAACAAAAATACTTGGAAGCAACCCTGAAGTATGGGAACCGTCTCCAAACCAATGTACATTGTATTGCAAAATCTTTTGTGTACAATTTGATACATTCCAACTGAGAACAGTGTTTATCTAGATAGCGCTGTCTCTTCATTTCATTTTGACCTTTATTTAAAATACCTTAGAATCGTAATATGAGAAAAGTTTATGTCCTACCATGAAAATAGGTCAAACACTTGTTGGCTTCTTTGAACAAGCTGATAACATCATAATAAACAAATACTTCTTTAGTAAGGTACTTTATTATAGCCGTATGGCATATCAGTGCCCTGTTCATCAAAGCTTACAACCCTTGTATTACAAGCAATTTGCCTGTAAAAAAATCATTATCACAAGGATGTGTTTATCAAAAGTACACATGTAAATTACGATTGAAAGTGTCATTATTTATATCACAAGTATTTTTTACGCTAGTATTCGTGAATTTGTTCTTTAACAAAAATCTAAAACTTTAAAAAATCATTACAAATCGACTCTGTTTAGCAAATTTTACAAGTCTACGCTTTCACAAGTTACACTCTACAAGGAAGTTGTTACAAGTTCATGTAAATAACGTTCATCAAAAAATAAAATACAGCTTTTTAAAGCTTCAAATTGGACGCTGGTAAATGCTCAGTCTAATATTCTGATAATAATTGAAAAAAATATTGCGTGACTAAACCTGTACGATGAAATAGAGAGTCGAGGAACACTGTCAGTGCCCTGTTTATTAAATCTTGCAAACCATGTATTATTTGATGAACAGATCTTCATGGTTTTTATTACATTTTAGTTAGGTCTTGGTCTGCGAACTATAATATAGGTACGTACAATGTATGTCATACTAAGTTGAAAAGAAAACAAAGTTAATATATCAAAACGACAAGACACAAAGAACTTTGCATATTTCATGTACAAACAAAAATGGGACTTTCCGATTGCTTTCAGATTTTTAAAAACAAGACATTAATCCAAGAGTAGTGTTTCAAATTTTGCATTGACTTCCTGTTTTTTCCCCGATTGAGGTTACGAGGCGGCTCGCTTTCACCCATTCTTCAGGCTATCCATAGACGGTTGCGTCAATATTTCGAGAGGCGTGTTTTGTTCAGGAGAATAGTTAACCCAGTTTTCAGGCGCTTCTGGCTAAATATACCGGATACCTGCGCTCACGCTGCCCCGTGCGTTGTGCTTCTGATGACTGCCATTGACTGCCCTAATTGCTCGTGTCGAACATTTTTTTACAGAATATTTCTTTAAATGCTTAACAAAGGATATTTTATAATCTTCACAAATCGACTAATTTCTGAAACAGTAACTTAAGCTTGGTGGAATTCCAAGTCCCTAGCCGGTATCTATTTTTTTTATCATGATAGTATCCTAAAATAATAAGTTATATGTTATTCCGTGTCATTTATCTTATTATTGTTCTCGTGTGTAATATATTAAGTAGGTACAAACTACATATACATTGTATGCCGCGCGAAGCTTTCCGATGACTGCCATCGACTGCCCTAATTGCCGACGACGTTTAAAACTCAACGTTTGACGGCTCATTTAAAAATGAAAAATGTATTTTAACACACGAAAGTGGACCACATCGGAAAATTTCATTCATTGTGGCTAATGAGAATGCCAAAGTAATGTGTAGGCTTGCGTGTATGTAGTAAAGGTACACGATAAAAAAGCTCCTAATTTGATCGCAAACTATTTTTACAGGATAAAATCACTTAGTGCTGAATGTTCTTCCATTTTTGCAATAATATTTTTTTAATATTTATTTATATTTTGAGATAAGCGTCCTATCAGACTCATAGTATATGTTAGTAGCCTACATAGTTGTAAATTGTTGGATTACCTTCTATCTCAAGAATCTTAAAAAGAAATGCCCACACTATTTTTAAGATCCTTATCCTCCATGAGCTTCAAACTCGGATTCGGTCCAGTTTTGTTAACACAGAAGGAATTGTATTGAAACTCTATTAAGCTCACACCTTTCCCGTTTAAATGAGTAAATAAAGCTGTTATAAAATGATGTTGTACAACAGTTTAGTGACTCGCCATTTCTTAACTTTCATTCACTAGACTTCTGAAAGCTGCCAAAATGAAAGTCCATTTCGGGGCCTTCAATTTTCGACGCCAAACAACCCATCCATGCGTTATTTGTGAAAGTCTTATTAACGAACTATTTTGTTCCGACCATTGTTGGTCGAACAATGATTCATAGGCTTAATCTAGATACTTATGAATAGCCAATGCGAATGAACTCTGTTTTAATGTAATACAACCCCGATCTGTGCCATCGGCCGGCCTAACCTTTAACAAAAGCGCACCTTAACTAGAGTATACTTTGTCATGCTACCATTAAAATTCATTAATAGTTAATGCGTCGATTAGTTTGTTTGGAATATAAACAATGAAGTTCTTTTTAAATGTGTAAATGAATAAACTCAGTTATCTCCGGGTTCATTTTATTTAAGACTCTTTATAAGTATTATTAGTTTTTTAAACATCTGATGACATTAGTATTTCAACTATAAGATTAAATGGTATTATATTTCGATTGAAATGAAGTCTCTATTGATTACGACCTCGCCGGATTGCGATAAGTAGAACTTGATCTTACTTGTCAAACATTTTCTATGTTTTCTTTGTGATTAACGATTTGTTAAAGTAGCAGTTAAATAAAAATCATGCGGGAACAGTTTAAAACGATCATTGTGCGGTCATGAAGATACGCGCGTGCGCGCTCGACTGACCTACTTATGCGTTGGCGACTCGCCGTCAGACCACACACGGCACACCAAGCTAGGTACACCCATCGTTGTTACTGCAACTAACCCAGCACTGAAACATCACTACCGACTAACGAAATCCCTTTCGGCAGTTCATCGACCTCGCTATCGAAATCCGCACACTCACACGCGTGTCCTCCAACGAAAGAGCAGATAAAAAAAAGAAACAAAAAAACATCCCACGTAACGGTGAATGAGTAATAGAGAGAGATAACTATATTTCGGCTGTGTACTCGTCGACCGTAAGGTCGGCTACGAAAAACACTGACGCAATTTTTATAGCGTACGTAATTGAGCACCGACGGCGTCGGCGGTGTGTGCGTGAGCGCCGAGAGCGACGCCCGCGTCTGCCGAAACGGAGGCGGAATATTTAGGTGAAAGTGTTTCGAATTTCGACATGACGACATTCGCGCGCAGTCGTTATCGTGATTTTGCCGAATCTAGAGGTTCGAAGAGCGCGCAGAGAACGACGCGACTGCGACACGCACCCGCGCCACTAACGTGTGCCTACTCGTTCCGCAGGAAGTGTTTCGGACTCTGAATGCTGATCGGTGTCAAGTGTTTGCGTAAAAAACTATGCTCAGAGTTGGTGTGACAAAAAATTTTCGGAGACGCAAGTCAAAACGGTGAGGTGTGTACTTAACCCGAGTGATGTGCAAGGTGCCGGAGGTCTGAACAAAGTGACGGCGGGCGACAAGCTGGGGCCCGACGAGGCGCACGACGCCGCTGCGCACGCTCTACAACTGCAGACGATGACTTCTACGATGGGTAAATACTCCTCAAAACCATTATACATTAAAAAAAATACAAACTCACAAAAAAAATCCAGAAAGGAGATTAAAAAAACTTTCAATATAAGGAACAAGAAAATTAAGTGTTTAAATAAAATATAGCAATATCATTGGGAATTCAGCGAAAAATTATACCATCAAATAAAATAAAATGAACCAGATATATACGGATCACATTATTTCAATACGTTCGTTAATCGATCTTGCTACGAAATCGTAGGCATGTAGCACACAGTACTACGGAGCGCTACAACTGACGACTGTAAATTCAGTACAAACGTGTAAACTATAAAAGCTGTAATAAAGAAAAGTATATTCATTTCATGCAGATTTTTTAGTCGGTCCAAAATGATTTTACATATTAATAATTTAATTAAATGACTGTTCCCGAGCCTTTCAAAGGCATGCTACGATCGGAATTACTACGACTTCCACAATACTGGATATATTTTTTTCGTATTTTATACTTGTTTAGAATTGTATTAGTTATTTCCACATCCTGATGAAAATCTATAAAATACAATCCACAAAACCTAACATAACAATTATACTTTATTTGTCGTTTCAAATAAGTTCATTTACATTTGTAGAGCCTATTTTTTTATGTTTAAGTTGCTAAATAAATATACTGAACATAAACCATATCTTTTTAAATTAAGTATATATGAGTCATGACATTTTAAGAATATGAACATCCACAAAAAAGTAGGCTTTCATTGAGTATTTCTATGAAACTGGGTTTGTTTATAATACTATATATTATATTATAAATGAATTTTTATAATAGAACGAGTTCTACTTGGAAATTTAAAATATTTGAGACTATATAATTGTGGTGACTTTTATTATAATTTGTCCTACAATCAATCTAATTTGTTTTTGGATACCTGGTCGATGGTCGAATATTATACGTATGCTTTATTGTTAAGGTTATTCTTCAGAGATAATTTGTTTAAGCAAAGCTCCATACCCAATAAGTGACAATGAAACCTTATTACAAAGACTCCGCTCTCCATCTGTCTACGTTCATCTGTAAGTAGGCTGTATGTCATGAACTTTAAAACTTAGGCAGTTAAATTAAAAGAAAAAACAAGAAAATAATTTGACCTCTAAACAATAAATAACATGTGTATGGCCTTAACAATCACTAACATTCAATCTAAACTTGTAAGGTGATGGTACGAAATTTTATATTATTTATGTGCTTTAAGTTATTATTCTAAGTACATCAGCAAGTCTGACTCTTATTTGGTCGGCTTTCGCATTAAAACCATATTAGACTTATCTATGTCGTATTTTTTTAATAAACATTAATAAAATAAAGTCCTCTCTCCGCTGGGAATAGAACCCGGGTCGTCCGCGTAGCAGCTTTCTACAACTAACCCACCAATGCTTGTTAATAAGGTCTGATTTTTTAAATAACAATTAAAAATATAATGCAACACGCTAAAGATGACCGAAAAAAATTGGGGCGATATGCAATAAAATTTTCACTTAAAAAAATTGTACGAAATTAATTTCATCGTTTTGATTTCATAAATTATATTGTGTATTATATTTTTCGCTAACACTACACAAGTATACAAAGTCTCTTTAGGAACCCTCGTGATTGTTCACTATATTTTCGTGCAAATATTCCTCTTTAATATAGAAACAATGCAAATCTCAAATGCAAGGTTTCAAAACAAAGAGCACACCTAGAGGGGTAACCGTGACATTCCCAAATCGTCTCGTGGATCAAGATCGTGACTACGTAACCACTCCGCTGCAGCGGCCACTTTTACTTTCGTTAAGTTAAGTACACACTCACTCCACGCAACGACCACAACCTACGCGCAGGCGCTGGCGCAAAGCGGAATACTTATAGCAGGCGTGCTAGCATAAGAATTCATTCCCTTTCCTCCAACTGATTCAGTAACTCCGTGATCATGGCGCTTGCAACAGTGCCGAAATATCGAAAACTTGCTAAAAACAAGGTACATGATAACAATCCCGTAAAAAGCATAAATTACTATAATCTTCATTCCCTGTTTAAATATAAATATTTGAGAGAGGTAGTCCATAGCAAACTTTTCGCTCAAATTGGAGCGTCTGGGGAAGAAACCTCCACCTTACAGAAGATCACAGTAAAATAACACTACATTTTGATAGTGTTGTGCTTTTGTCGATAAATAATAAGGTTCCAGGGCTCCACGGGGTTATTGGAGATTGGGTTAGGAAAGACAACGGTGCGAGTGATACCAATTTTTGGTATCGCAAGCATGTATAAACTAATAAATGGCTTACCATTAGGCGGGCGATGCGTTTGTTTGCCACCCATTTATCATAAAAAATGCCCTAGAAGCAGCTACATGAATCGACCTGATAATGTTGTGGAGGTTGCTTTTTCAGGCGAGCGCTCCAATTCGAGCGCAAAATCAGCTATGCTCTACCTCCTTTCCCCACGGGCTCTATATCAAGATTCCCTGTTTTTGCCATAACAAAAGCCCATGAAAAATAATGACACATTATTCATTTTATAAATAAGTCGCCGATTTCCATGTGAATTGTTATTTTATAAGAACTATGTGATTATGACGTGCCTTTACATCACACTAATATTATAAAGGCGAAAGTTTGTGAGTGTGTATGTTTGTTACTTCTTCACGTCTAAGGCTAGAGCAATTGTAATAAAATTTGGTATGGAGTTAGCTGACACCCTGGATTAACACATAGGCTACGTTTTACTGCGGGAAAATATCCCTAATAAACCGCGGGTAACAGCGCGGGGCACAGCTAGTTGTTCATGTTCAGTGTCTTGTCTATAGTTCGGTTCTGTGGTCGCCCGTACCCGAGGTCGTTGCTCTCGCACCATTATGCTGTTGCCGAAATACGTTTTTTACGCTTACTTTCCAATACGGTGAAAGCGAAAAGGTACTTACTGAATGTCACTGGTTCCTTTCAAAGCATTGTAGTGGGAGGATGTCAGTGTCGGTTCAAAATGATAATAGGCGCGTTAGGCTGACATTAGAAAATACATTGTTGGCAGTTTTGAATATCTACAACAGTAATTATGCGGTCGTAAGCGAGCCCGAATGAGAACTGCATGCAATTACCCAGTTTACTTCAATACCGAATACATTTTTGAAGTGAAATGTGGTTAAATGGAAATTTTTACACGGTTTTCATGTAGGTCTGGGGATGTAGAAGACACTTATGCCTGAATGTCAATGTTCACATGAACGCACATCACATACACGCAAAGATAAATACTCGAGCTCGTGAGCTTTAAGAGTGAACGATACGGTGTATGTAGAGAATGCATCCTTGTCCACCACAATTCAATATGTAAATTAAAACATCCAAATGATGTGCTTAACTAAGAAGTGGTATGTACTTTTTCAAACCTTTAAAACTAGCACTTTACACAGGTTGTTTTAATCCAAATTCCCGCTAAACAACGAGGCCTCCCCAGAAAACCTAGGGTACAGTGTGCCCAATTTTCTATAAGAATATAGTGCTTAGATATACACTTACGGACGGATACGGAAATTACTTGCATATAAAACTATTTCATCAATCTTTCATGCTAATCGTCAAATCTCGGAATCGAATCATTGCAGCTGTTATCTCGTCCCACCAGATCTGAACAGGAAGCGGTTAGATCGGAAGTGTCTGTTTAAAAATGGAACGTTTTAACGTTGCGCACGCGCACGTGAATGTCAAGGCGTGGTGGAGGCCCCGGCTTCAGGGCCAAAAGCACACGACCAAGCTGGTCGTGATGAAACCACAAATTTGAGTAACGCTTGTTAAGACAAGAATACGATGAACAAAAGTTAAATAAATTGATGTGTTTCTTGTATAGAGAGAAGCGATGATAACAAGTATATCTTAAGACGTTTGCGATTGTAAAGAGAACCACTATAAAATTGGCTTCTCTGAGAACCTTAAATTATAAATAATTTGACTGCAGTTTTGTGTGTCAATTTATTTATATTTATGAAGTTATCTTACAAATAAAGTACATACGTCTTCAAGTTCAAGTTCTTGTCAGGAGAGTTATATTAATTATAACAGTGAGTAGTATATACTTTAACATTGTTTTCTTGAGCGAATAAAATACGTTATTTCCCATATAAAGAAAAATCGTTTTGCCAGTAATGCGAGCGCCTGTACCACAATGATGTTCGTTTAAACATGTAATACAGTCCCCAGGGCAAAGCACGTGCATAGCTACCTGTACCAGAATACAAAACATGTGCAAATAAAAAGCAAGTGACTGTTTATGGATGGATGGACCTGTCAATTGCATAATCAATAACAACCGAACATTAACTTTACTGTCAATTAGTGATAGCAAAATAAATATTAGATAACATCCTCCATCCAATACTTTTAGAATTTGCTTCTGATGTAAGAATAAACTCAGTTACTAAATATATTGAACCATAATAGATTATTATTCGTTTATATGCTTTTAAAGAGAGTTTGCTTACACAAATAAGCTTACACAAAACATTTTTATGTTAAACTATTTATTATTTTGACTATTTATTATATTTAAGATAAAACAAACTATAATAAAACTCTATTTTTCAAATTAAAATGACATGTAACTATAAAATGACGATATCTTGTGATTTATTACGGAGATCATTAAATTATTTGCGTGCGTTGAAATCTTTTCTACAGCGAGAATACTGCAATGTTACGATACGAGATAAAAACGCATTAATTGCGAAATGTATGCGAGTATTTTTAATCGGAACCTAGTGCATTGTTCAGGGTCGGATCAGAAATCCCTACGATTGAAGGGACCACACTTTTGTTTTAATTTATAGAATTTGAACTTTAACAATTACGAAACATTTATATAAACAAGAATTAGCAAGGAAGTATTTCCTTGTAGGATGGCTGTATAGCCATCCTGCAATTTTTGGGCTATTCGACTCAGATACCAGGAACGAATTTTACTTGTGAATATAATATCAAGTTATG